GGGCTGAGCCAGCGCTGAGGGATCTGGGGGAGTTGGGAACAGTCAGGGGGAGGGTCGTGGTTGGGCTGGAGGATCCTCAAGGGCTTTTCCAACCCAGATGATTCTGGGATTCCGTGATTGACAGCCAGAGGGGAGGAGGTGATGGAAGTGAGTGGACATGTGCCCAGGAGGGAGAAAACCACAGCCTAGGTCTCACCAAGCTTCCTCAGCCACCAGAGGCCTACAGATGTGTTGGGTAACTCAATCCTGTCCCTCTGCCAAGTCCACTGGCTGCCCACCTCTTATCTTGACCTTCAAAGGAGGCAACATGCCCTTACCATGGCTTTGAGAAAAACCTGTGGGACTAATGCATGACTTGGTGAGGAGGAGAGGGTTGGAAGGACCCGAGAAGGCTGGTGGCTGGAGATCTGATCTTCCACCTGCCTGTGAAGCCTTCAGGATCATTTCACGATTGATGTTTGGAAGCGGTTGGATCCCAGGGCTGGATCTGGAGGAGCTGGGGCAGAGTTGCTCCGGTGGAAGTGCTCGAGGGCTCAGCCCACACCACGCTCTGTGATGGAGTCTTTAAAGCTCTGGTTGGGTGCCAGTCCGTTTCGCAATCGCCACCTCAGTGCTGGCACGAGCCCGTGGGAAGCACGGGGGAAGATCAGCGATTCCACCATCCCTTTGCCACCTGGCCAAGCGTGCTGGAGGACCAAAAATCTGTCCCTGAGCATCCGAAAGAGGTGTCTGGACTGTGCTCCTCCCACCCAGGTCTTGGCCACTTCAGGCAGAGGTACCTCAAGGGTCTTCCCATTCGCATGAGGGACCACCCATGCATCTCTCTCAGCCATCCAGAGGTAGACGCCAATGTTGGGCTTCCAGATGGCTTCCTCCATGTCACGGGTGCTGGCCACCATCGTCCCCCCAGAAATACCCTTTGCAAACCCTCTGGAACCTGCTCGGCCTTGGTCCGTCCAAGGAAGAGCTGCCAGCTAAGATTTGGAGAAGCTGAAACCAAGATGTCTTTATGCAGGGTGATTTCCAGAACATGCCATGCACCCTTCTCCTTAAAATTAACCCAATTAGTATGAAATCACCCCTGCCAGCGCGAGGTAGGACTGGGGAGCTTTGATTTCAGCATTCATGAGTGCTGTGCAGCGCATGCGGCACTCACAGGGTTAAAAAAAAACCCACCCCAGGCTGTGGTGGCTTCTCTCGCTTGGCAGCCCCCAGACTGAGGGCACTTGAGACCCATTCTTCCAGAAGGAAGTCCACTCTCAGTTAATTAAGCAAAGCTGCTAATTAGCTTCCTGGCTGGGAGTGATTGGGGGGGGGAGGGTGGCAAGGTCTGTCCGTGGGTTTTTTTTACAGGCGGTAAAGTTGGGGTCGGGAAGATGGAGGCATCTCCTGCAGCAAAGCACATGCTGATGCAAACAGGTCATGTGTGTTAACCGCACTGAAATTTAATCTTTTAATTGCTTGGGCGGCCGAGGGCATCAGCCAGCTGGCGGGTGGGGACTGTTGTTCCCCAAAACCCCACATTGTCCCTCGTCTCGGATTGCAGCTCCTATCCGGCACCGCCACCCAGCTGCCTGGCGGGTCAGAACCCATCAGTGCCGAATCACTAACCCTGTTTGCAGAAAAAAAACCTGCTCAGGGTAGAGGGTGGCGTGTCCCTGTCACCGCTCCGTGTCCCCGTCGCCGGTTCATCTCGCTTGGCTGCGCCCCTGGACGCAGGCTCAGCGCCCGCTGCCAACTCCCAGCGGAACGCGCTCGATGCCCAACAGCAGAGCACGGGAGGCACCCGCAAATCCCATTTCCAAACCACGCAGCGGATCCGGGACTACCGAATCGCACTCCCTTCCACTCTTCCTCACTTCTCTGGCCTGCCAACTGGGAATTGCATCCACCCGGCATGCAGAAAGGATGCTCTGGGGCAAAGCTGTCCATGAGCAGGTCTCTCTGAGCTCACCTGATGCTGAGAGCTTTCTGCCAGTGAATAAACACCAGATACCATCACTCTATTTGTTTCCCCTCCTAGAAAGCTTGTTTTTCCCCTCTCTTGCTTAAGTGTCAATTCATTCTGACGCTCCTGGGAGGTCACTGCAGAAGCAGTGAATTACAGGGCGGGCAGGATGGCACACGGCCAGCGCCGTTGGGTGATTTTCCACTCGCACGTGTCTCGAACTGGGATGGAGGCTGCTGCAAACCACGTCACCGTGGAGCGGCTCAGCAGCCCGTGGTGTCACGGAGCAGCAGGGAAGGGAACACGGAGCATCGTGCTGGGGAAGGGAACGTGGAGCATCGCGCCCTCCTGGTTCTCACTGCCAGCACAGGAAGCAAAGCAAGAGCTAGAGATGCTTCAACTCACCTGCATCTCCAGAAAAACACAGAAACTGGGGGTATTTGTTAAAGCCCAGAGCAACCAGGCAGGGAAAGCCCCCAAATCTGACCGTAGTCTATAGACCTACTGTCTTAAAGGCAGAAAGGCTTCAGGCCACCAGGTCTGGATTAGTAAAATCATCCACGCAGGTGTTTATCCTTCCTGTTCCCACCTGATCGGATCTGGATGATGCCAGCAGGTACCACACAACCCCACCTGCAGAGGCTGGGATGGGGTCAGGGCGAGACGGCTCTGTCTGGGTCTATGGGAAGGTCCCAGAGCTCGCAGACCCTCCCCACCACCTCCATCCTGGCAGGTGGTGACCAAAGGGGATCATCTCCCAAACCTTCCCTGGCAGGATGAGGTGGGTCAGAGAAGATGCTTCCTTTGGCCACTCAGAATGGTGGCCGAGGAGCCATCTGGGCTGTATCAAGAGTCATTTCTCAGTCCCCCCTAAATCCATCCCTGCTCACAGCGCTTTGGGTTTTGAAGGCAAAAAGCTCGTTTTGAAAGCGGCGATGCAGGTGCTGGGCCAGGCTCCAGCAGCCCAGCCCACGACTGTTCCCCACCTCTGCTCATCTACTTAGACATACTCAATTCTGGTGATTTTTTTCCCCAAGGCGTTTAATCCATATCAGTACCAGTGAGAAGTCAGAGCATCCGTGCACCTGAACCACTTGGACAAACTCTAAGAGGGGCATTTTGAGCTGTATCGAAGACAAGCACGCTGCCACATTGTTTTCTAGCAACATAAATCCATGAAAGCTGGAGGTGGCGGTTTGGTCTAGCACCTGAAATCCTGATCTGAGCAAGAGAGAGCTGATATTTGTCTTAGAAATGGACTCTGAAAGCAGTTGGACCCACAAGTTGGTTTCTCTGAAGGGTTTCTCACCTCCAAAGTCCTACTGAGACAGAGCATGGGATTAGATGGGTTCGCTGCGGCGGATGAAATCCATTCCCACATGAACCTCCTTATAGTTGATGTAAAAATCCTAAGAAAGAGCCTAGAAACCAGTTCCAGTGTGGAGAGATGTTCAAGCCACCATCCCATTGTGATGGCAGGTGTTGGGGTGCATCAGCAGCACCGGGTGAGTCCCGGCCCGATGGTGGAGCCTAACGAAACCCCACAGACCAGGAGCTCACCCTGAGGTGTGACCCCACGACTGGGCAGCCCTGGTGCTCCTCCCATCCTGCTCCAGCTTCTGGTCATGGGTAGGAGCCACTCAAATGAGAACCACCCCATAGAGAGGATGGATGGTCCCTGCTCCAAAGAACCATCAAAATATATTTCAAGATTTAAAGGTGGTAGTAAAGCTAAAAACCGTAACACATGAAGGGAAGGGAATGGGGAGGTGGATCAGAAAAGCACAAAGAACACACGGGTGTTATTCGCTGCCCCGTCCCTGCAGGTCAGCTGGTGGCACACGGGCTGTCCCACACCCCCACCTCACCACCAAGGCCACGTTGCAGACCCCAACCCCGATACCGGAGGGAAATTTTGGCTACCTGTAGTGGAGGAGTTGACCTTCTGCACTGTAATCCCGATAAATGTCATATTCTTTCTCAAACACTCCGGAAGGCGACGAACTGCAATACAGTAACAGTGAACAAGGAGTTACCAACGGTGACTGCGACGCGCACGTGCCCTTATTCAAGTCTCCTTTGCTTTAGGATTAACAAAGGTGCATCCACAGAGAGGGGCTCCCAGTCCCTGTTAGTCTGGGCTCTGTACTCCAGGGACCTACTCCCACCTCTTCACATCAAGCTTTGAGTCATTAATCAGTCGTTCAGCACACGATGACCAAGCCCTCCGTGGCTGTGGTCTCCGGCTTCATTTCAAACCCCGAGAACACCACATTCTCCCTTAAACTTGTCTTATTTGTGAGGAACAGCTGTGGACATGCCTAGACAGATCCTAAATACCTCATAACTTTGTCCCACCCATGGTCCTTTCCAAGAGCAGCCGTTCCTCATGCCTCCAGCATTGCTCTCGCTCTGTGCTCATCTCAGATGGTCGGAGCCAAGACGGGCAGAGGTGGCGAGCCCCAGAAAAGCCCTTTTTGGCACATTTTAATCTACAACGTTGTAGTCAGTTCCATCTGAGCCCGCAGTGCCCTTGCTCCAAGAAGAAGGTCACAGCACCAACAGCTACCAACCTATTCCAAGAGACACCTTACCTCAGCACACCCTGAGAAACATGTTAAAAAAAACACCTGGGGGTGCAGGATGGCATTTACACACTGCTTTTTGGACTAGCACCAGCTTAAAGCCTCTCCTAAAAGAGCAAACCCACTCTGGCTCCATGTTCCCTTTGGCTTCAGGCCTGCCCAGAAGTTGAGACCCTCCAAAATCTCCCAACAAGGCAGGTGACAAGGTCTAAGGTTTCCAATACTGTTCATACCCATTGCCAATATTTACTCCACAAGCACAGGAAAGGACTTTTTTTTTTTTTTTTTTTTGACTTAACAGTCCTTCGCTGTGGAGATGTGCAAATTGTTCAGAAAACACAGGGCGCGGAGCGTATTATTAGAAATTTGTTCTGCATTGAAACGTAACAGCAAACATCTGGAGAAATAACTTCTTTCTGAGCAGTTTTCGAAGAAACGGCGTTAAAGCCCCCCTACGTACACATTAAGGCGCTTGTGTTAATAAAATCCAGATCAGATGTTGGTTTCAGAAGAAGAAAAAAATGAAAAGAAACAAATCTTCTTAATAGGATAGACCTCAAAAATTTTATTCAAGCAAGAGGCAATAAAATTAAGCTTCTGTCAAAGCTAATTTTAATGAGACTTCTGAGCCCTGAAATTATGACTATGTTGAATTGCTTAATCCCTTTTTCCTCTCGAGTGCACGTGAATGAGTGCTCCTCCTCCTCTACAATGCCCAGTGGCTTCTCAAAAGAAAGGCATCAGCTCTGATGCCCGGTGCTGTACCCAGATCCATGGCTCCAGGATCTCCTCCCCAGTGGGCGAAGTCCCGGATGGAAGGGAATTAATGCTCAGGAAGCTTCCTAACGGAGAGTGCCGCTGCTGAAAGAGGCTGTACCTAACACTTACTGAAGAGAAAGGCAGTGGATGTTGGGGGAAGACCTCAAGGAAGGTCTCTCTCAGGCAAGTTCTTGTGATCACAGACATGTCTGGGTTGGAAAAGCCCTTGAACTCCTCCAGCTCAAACATGACCCTCCCCCTGACCATTTCCAACTCCCCCAGACCCCTCAGCGCTGGCTCAGCCCGACTCTTCAACCCCTCCAGGGGTCCCGGGGACTCCCCCCTGCCCTGGGCAGCCCATTCCAACGCCCAACAGCCCCTTCTGCACAGAAATCCTTCCTCAGAGCCAGCCTGACCCTGCCCTGGGCAGCTTGAGGCCATTCCCTCGGGGCCTGGCGCTGGGGCCTTGGCTCCAGAGACTCATCCCCCCTCTCTGCCCCCTCCTGGCAGGGAGTTGCCGAGGGCCAGGAGGTCTCCCCTCAGCCTCCTCTTCTCCAGACTGAACCCCCCCAGTTCCCCCAGCCGCTCCCCAGCAGACCTGTGCTCCAGACCCTGCCCCAGCTCCGTTGCCCTTCTCTGGCCACGCTCGAGCCATTCAATGGCCTTTTTGGGGTGAGGGAAAGCCAAGCAAGAGGCAGACCCTCATGGCAAACAGGTTTCCCTTCTGGTGGTGGCATCCCTGCCCAGCCATGGCCTGGAGAACCTTCGAGGACTATTTCATCTATGCAAAGTCTTGATGCTGTGGGACTGAAAGGAGACTCCCCTTTCTGTCAGGTTTCTCCAGGAAACAAAGACTTCAGGACCACTACACAAAATCTGTCCACTTGCCCTACTTCATGAGCCTTCTGGAAAGATCTGCGAGGTAAGAAATGTCCCCCTGGGTCAGAGCAATGGTGTCTCCAGCCCTCTACTCTGCTTCAAACCATGGCAGCAGGAGATGCTGTGTATGGAGAGCTCATGACCCCGCTTACTGCCTGCAGCCCATGCCCTCGTGCCCCCCAGCACCCAGTCCCTGCATTACGGCTGACAGCAGGGACGTGTCCTCCCAGTCACCCACTTAAGTGTTTATGGACGGGTTGTCTTGAATTTGTTTAATCCCTTCCTGAACATGCAGCAATGTCAGCCTCCACAGCTGCCCACCGCAACAAATTCCAGAAGTTTGCTACCTGCTTCCCACCCCTTTCCTTGGCTAAAAAAATAATAATTAAAAAAAAAAATCACCTGATCATGAGCAGTTCCTTCTGGCCTCATATTTTTCAAAACACTTGCAAGTAAGGGCCCTGAGCACGTCTCCTTGCATCTCAGGGCAAACCTTCTGTGCTAAAGGCTGTGGGAATCTGGAAGCAAGGAGGGGATGGAGTCTCCTCCGGGCACCGGCTCCCAAAATCTCCATCTCTTCTCATATTCACCAGACAGAGAGGATCTGAGGAGCACAGAGCAGCACCGCGAGCATCTGGCCAGCCAGTTACCAGAAAATGAGCTGACCGTAAATTCCCAGTAACGATGTCAGCTGCTCCTCAGCCAAAGCACAGCTGCTGGAATTTCAGATGCTTTCGTGCAAAGCTTCTTCCAAAGGCTGTTGAAGTGGCCGCAGAATTACGCGGCTTTTAATATTTTGGCTGGTGCCAGTTGGATGCAGGAGGAGGAGGCTGCGTGAGCTCACAGGTGAATGGACGTTATTCACATCTGGCTTCAAAACCTGGATGAAATACCTAAAGAGGTGGATTCTCCTCCCGATTTGGTATTTCATGTAGCACACGGGACAGTACAACCCTTGTCTTAACGCAACTCCTGCACTTTCTATCCCACTGTGAATTCCCAACTGGAGCTCCGAACCAGCCCATGAGGCTGGTGAGATGGGAGAGCTTAGCACCAGGGCTTGCTCTCAAACACACATGCTGACTTGACATACATTAACACCTCGTAATCTTTAAAAGAAAGTTCTCTTAGGCTGCCACCTCCTCCTTTTGAGATAAATCAATTAAAACCTCAGGCTATGAGCGAGTTGTCGCTGACACACACTCCACGCTTGAAGCTCTTGCGTGGTCCAAAAAATGCCAGGCAAAGCAGTAAGATCGAGATCAACTGCAGCGCTCCAAATCCATCCCACCAGCAGAGCCAGATCAGGAGTGAAATTGCTGCCGGTACACTGTGGGTGGCATCGCTCTTCATTCAGGTACTGATGAGTCAGACTTGGCTTCGTTATCGTCGCAATCAGCTCTTACCAGTGGAGCTGCAAATGAGACTGATAGCGAGAATCACATCCACCTGCAACATCATGAGCTGCAAGCTTCAAGGTCAGGGTCAACGCGGCAACGAAACACCTGGGACATCCCCTCTGCTCTCCGGCATCTTGCTGGAGATGAAAACTCACTCCTTGCTGCCACTGCTAAGACCCCACATGTTATTTTGGGGGTGATTTTAGCAAGTTCTGAACAAAAAGATGCCAGAAGGTGACAGCACATAGACTGCTAAGACCACAAGAAGACCCGGCGAGCTGACCTGTGCACTTAAAAATGGAACTCTGGCTTGTGTTGGAAAGAAATATCATGCCACAAGCAGGAGACAATCAGGGAACGGGTGACAGGCTCCCACTAGATAACCCGTTTGGGAGGACAAAGGTGTCGAGGGATGCTGAAGTTGGCAGATACCAAATTGTGAGGTTTTGTTTCATATTTGATAATTGGAAGACATTTTTCAGACCTGGGTTTGGTTCTGGGTCTCAAGGTTACAGATATTTGAGATGCACAGATCTGCTCCATCTCTACTGGGAGCCAATGGTCGGGGTGGAGCAGGGGTCTCCACACCTCCTGTGTTGAAGAAAGGCAGGTAGGGTCCCCTCACCTTCAAGGGGAGATTTTGGGGGTGAGAAGGTATTTAAAAGCTTTCCAGGACAAAAAGCCTCCTCTAAGGTATTACAGCATGCACTGTCTTAGTTTGTCTTGAGGCCAGGAGGTGAAGCAGCTGGTGCACATGGTGCCCAGACTAGATCTTGCCTGGGAACATGGAAGCTCAATGTGATGGTGGTCAGGGAGCTGCCAAAGGCTGCGCCATGTTAATTGTGGAAATGATCACAGAATCCAAGAATCCTTCAGGTTGGAAAAGCCCCTCGGGGTCAGCGAGTCCAACCCTCAGCCTGACTCTACACAGTTCTCCCCTACCCCACATCCTCCACAGCTCATCCCAACGGCCCTGAACCCCCCCCAGGGATGGGGACTCCCCCCTCCCTGGGCAGCCTGTTCCACTCTCGGACCACTCTTGCTGGGAAACATTTTCTCCTCCTGCCCAGCCTGACCCTCCCCTGGGGCAGTTTCCAGCCGTTCCCTCTTGTCCTGTCCCTGATCCCCTGGGAGCAGAGCCCAGCCCCGGCCTCTCTGCAATGTCCTGTCAGGAGCTGCAGAGAGGGATGAGGGCTCCCCTCAGCCTCCTCCTCCTCACCCTGAACACTCCCAGCTCCTTCCCTGGCTCCTCACAGCATTGATTCTCCAGCCCTTCCCCAGCCTCGTTGCCCTCCTCTGCCCTCGCTCCAGCCCCTCCAGATCTCTCTGGGGTTGAGGTGCCCAAACCTGGACACAACCCTCCAGGTGTGGCCTCCCCAGTGCCGAGCACAGGGGACTGTCACCTCCCTGCTCCTGCTGGTCACACCAGTGCTGATCCAAGCCAGGAGGCCGTTGGCTTTCTTGGCCCCCGGGCACGCTGCTGGCTCCTGTTCAGCTGCTGGTCAGTGAGAACCCCCAGACCCTTCTCTCCCAGACAGTTCTCTGATGAAGCATCAAGGTGAGCATGACGTGTGTGTTGTTGTCAAAAACATGGACATGACAGGCTGTGACACTGTGTGACATTTAACGTTTGTGGAAGGTGCCTCTCACTGAAATCTCAAGGGAGACAAGGGTCAAAGATGCCACTGCCCCCCGTGGGACCAGGTGAGGGAGGGGATTAGCGAGAGTCCCTGTCCCCAGGAGGTGGAAGAGGGACAGCTCAAGGAGCTGCTCCCCCTCCTGGTTGGACTCAACATGCTGAGCCGTGACTTGTAGAGGCAAGAATTTAATCCTTGGTCTTGCTAATAAATAAAACTGGTCTCCTTTGCCTGTTCATTTTCCTGCTGAAACCTGGAGCCTGGTGTGAAGGATCCCTGCAAGAAACTGAGGGTCCTGCCTGGCGCAGGATGGAGTTCTGCGACATCCGTCCAGCCTACAAAGCT